CTTTGGTACTTTGAGACTCTTTAGGGCTACTGTAATACTTTGGTACTTTGAGACTCTTTAGGTGCTACTGTAATACTTTGGTACTTTGAGACTCTTTAGATGCTACTGTAATACTTTGGTACTTTGAGACTCTTTAGGGGCTACTGTAATACTTTGGTACTTTAAGACTCTTTAGGGGCTACTGTAATACTTTGGTACTTTGAGACTCTTTAGGGGCTACTGTAATACTTTGGGGGGGGCTACTGTAAACTTTGGTAGACTCTTTAGGGGCTACTGTAATACTTTGGTACTTTGAGACTCTTTAGGGGCTACTGTAATACTTTGGTACTTTAAGACTCTTTAGGGGCTACTGTAATACTTTGGTACTTTGAGACTCTTTAGGGGCTACTGTAATACTTTGGTACTTTGAGACTCTTTAGGGGCTACTGTAATACTTTGGTACTTTGAGACTCTTTAGGTGCTACTGTAATACTTTGGTACTTTGAGACTCTTTAGGTGCTACTGTAATACTTTGGTACTTTGAGACTCTTTAGGGGCTACTGTAATACTTTGGTACTTTGAGACTCTTTAGGTGCTACTGTAATACTTTGGTACTTTGAGACTCTTTAGGGGCTACTGTAATACTTTGGTACTTTGAGACTCTTTAGGGGCTACTGTAATACTTTGGTACTTTGAGACTCTTTAGGGGCTACTGTAATACTTTGGTACTTTGAGACTCTTTAGGTGCTACTGTAATACTTTGGTACTTTGAGACTCTTTAGGGGCTACTGTAATACTTTGGTACTTTGAGACTCTTTAGGGGCTACTGTAATACTTTGGTACTTTGAGACTCTTTAGGGGCTACTGTAATACTTTGGTACTTTGAGACTCTTTAGGGGCTACTGTAATACTTTGGTACTTTGAGACTCTTTAGGGGCTACTGTAATACTTTGGTACTTTGAGACTCTTTAGGGGCTACTGTAATACTTTGGTACTTTGAGACTCTTTAGGGGCTACTGTAATACTTTGGTACTTTGAGACTCTTTAGGGGCTACTGTAATACTTTGGTACTTTGAGACTCTTTAGGGGCTACTGTAATACTTTGGTACTTTGAGACTCTTTAGGGGCTACTGTAATACTTTGGTACTTTGAGACTCTTTAGGTGCTACTGTAATACTTTGGTACTTTAAGACTCTTTAGGTGCTACTGTAATACTTTGGTACTTTAAGACTCTTTAGGTGCTACTGTAATACTTTGGTACTTTAAGACTCTTTAGGTGCTACTGTAATACTTTGGTACTTTAAGACTCTTTAGGTGCTACTGTAATACTTTGGTACTTTAAGACTCTTTAGATGCTACTGTAATACTTTGGTACTTTGAGACTCTTTAGGTGCTACTGTAATACTTTGGTACTTTAAGACTCTTTAGGTGCTACTGTAATACTTTGGTACTTTAAGACTCTTTAGGTGCTACTGTAATACTTTGGTACTTTAAGACTCTTTAGGGGCTACTGTAATACTTTGGTACTTTTAGACTCTTTAGGGGCTACTGTAATACTTTGGTACTTTGAGACTCTTTAGATGCTACTGTAATACTTTGGTACTTTGAGACTCTTTAGGTGCTACTCTAATACTTTGGTACTTTGAGACTCTTTAGGGGCTACTGTAATACTTTGGTACTTTGAGACTCTTTAGGGGCTACTGTAATACTTTGGTACTTTGAGACTCTTTAGGGGCTACTGTAATACTTTGGTACTTTGAGACTCTTTAGGTGCTACTGTAATACTTTGGTACTTTGAGACTCTTTAGGGGCTACTGTAATACTTTGGTACTTTGAGACTCTTTAGGTGCTACTGTAATACTTTGGTACTTTAAGACTCTTTAGGGGCTACTGTAATACTTTGGTACTTTAAGACTCTTTAGGGGCTACTGTAATACTTTGGTACTTTGAGACTCTTTAGGGGCTACTGTAATACTTTGGTACTTTGAGACTCTTTAGGTGCTACTGTAATACTTTGGTACTTTAAGACTCTTTAGGTGCTACTGTAATACTTTGGTACTTTGAGACTCTTTAGGTGCTACTGTAATACTTTGGTACTTTGAGACTCTTTAGATGCTACTGTAATACTTTGGTACTTTGAGACTCTTTAGGTGCTACTGTAATACTTTGGTACTTTGAGACTCTTTAGGTGCTACTGTAATACTTTGGTACTTTGAGACTCTTTAGGGGCTACTGTAATACTTTGGTACTTTGAGACTCTTTAGATGCTACTGTAATACTTTGGTACTTTGAGACTCTTTAGGGGCTACTGTAATACTTTGGTACTTTGAGACTCTTTAGGTGCTACTGTAATACTTTGGTACTTTGAGACTCTTTAGGTGCTACTGTAATACTTTGGTATATAGTATGAGAGGATTCACTCAACACAAGGGAGGCCATACTAAACACACTACACACAAATTCATTTTCAACGCTCACACTACTGCACTAGTCTACTACCATAGACCTACAGCTAACCACGTATAGCTTACTTGCAACTACTCACCAGCTACAATTAGACCACCTCACTCAGCAACAGGCAAATATATATGATGCTACACAAGCATTGACTCTAGTCTTTCAAATAACAAGCTTCCCCAGATCCTGCCTACCACAAACTTACCTAACTATCTTCTGGAGCGTGCCGGGCTCGAGGCAACCTTAAAGGCAAACATCAGCGGCCGAAACCCTGAAACGCCTGCACCCAACAGGGACTACATCCCCACCCAGGATTACCCCGAAAATAAAAAATGCAAAATAATAGAGTGCCTGAAGGAAGGACTGATTCAGCCCAGCTAGACACTCCCCTATCTAAACTGAGGAAGCTGTTCAACAGTAAGAGACCTCTGCCAATACTACACTTCTATACACTACTACTCACAACTAAAGACAATCTCAACACTACACAACAAACAATCAATTACTCACTCCTAAAACTCTAACACAGAAAAGACCTCCCCAAAACGCCTATTTCTCATTTTCCAATGTTTTCTTTCTGGGTATCGCTACACGGGGATACCCAGTAGCCACGCCCAGAGCTATGGCTGCACCCTCTGCCAGCCAAACATATATACTGTTGGAAGCTCAGGTTCAGTTCAAAACTGTATCCAGTCATGCCAACGAGGATCTGTTTCCTGTCTTGTTAGGGGAAATCTTCAATGTATGCCTTACCGAGGGCAGAACCACGACGAAGTCAGTGGTTGAAATTCCTTGTTAACACTGTTCCTTCAGATGTTCGAGCCGGTATTGTACTGTGTGCGAGGCATTTCACAGACCAAAGCTTCACAAACCTTGCAGTGATTCATGCCGAATATGCACAGCGTAGGACACTGAAGGACGATGCTGTTCCTACTTTGTTTGGACCAGCGGGAGATTCGGGTACACAACCTGTAAGTATTCATTGTTGTTTGTGTATTTATGATGTGTCTAAAACAAACAAGGTATATCTACCACGACTGTTTAAATGGGTAAACGTTTTTCGGACTGCTAAGCCATTGACACAGTGCTAACTGGGCTAACTAAGTTGCTAGCGTTTCCATACATCAACTCTAATATCAGCAGATGGCCTTACATACATGTATCTCATAGCAGGAGAATGTCTGCGTTCACACACAAAATACTCATAGACAATATACTCCGGGTGATTTACCGTACGGTCAGTCGCGAAACTTAATTACATTATAGATAGATAGATAGACAGATAGTACTTTATTGATCCCAAATTGGGAAATTGTTGTTGTTACAGCAGCATAAAAGGCATTTTACAATAAAACAAAACTACAAAATATACAAGAATAGAAAGAAAAATAAAATAAAATATAAAATATACATGTCGAAATAGAAAATATACATGCATAGTTGGCGTTCCTAGCGTGTATGCTACCGCGCTAAACAAGAAGGCTACCAAGAGCTAGACATGCTAGGGAAAACATTGTTTTTATCCCAGCTACAATGAATGACCGAACGTAGCAGACTACCGTATAAGATTGCAATTGTAAACATGTTCTTGCTAGCCTAATATGAACCACTAGCTGTTGTTCATAGTAGGTTGGCATAATACACTGAACAACTAGCAAACGTAGGTTAGCATATTAATCTAGCTGGCAAGCTAACGAACCTAAAACAACTAAGTTTCTCTAATATTTTGTGATTTGCATTTGATTTTGTCCAGCCAGATCAGGAAACTCCTAGCGTATCCGGCGGACAACACATGACGGGATGACTACTCTACTGCCTCGTCCTAAAAATCCCCAGCACCAGCTTACAAAGCTGCGATAGTCAAGATGCTGAAAACGCGTGTATATTTACACATGTTGTACATTTCTAAAAATAAAGTTGAATGGAAATACTTAGTAGCCTTTCTTCCCTGAATTATTTGCTCCTATAACATATCATTCATATATAGCAAACCATGATTTGATTTTTCATCAAACACAGTAGTAGTTTATCACAGGTAAAAATAACTTGAGAGTCTGAGTTCGAAATATATCTCAAATAATGAATGCACTGCCATTTCCCAACATAAACATTACAGTCTGCAATTACACGGTTGTCTCCTGTGTGCTCCACTTCCTACTTGGCGCTCCGGTAACTTTCTCGTGTGAACGAGATACAGTATCTTTTTTTCATTGCCCTTTAGGGGCTCCGTACAATACAAATGCAAAGTCCTTTCGAGTCATCTGTCTCAAGCCTAAGTCAAGTCTCAAGTCATGAATATCAAGTCAAAGTCAAGTTGAGTCTTTTATCAATGTTAGTCAAGTCCAAAAATATGCGACTTGAATCTGACTCGAGTCAAGTCATGTGACTCGAGTCCCCCACCTCTGGTATATACTGTGGTTTGAATGTTGCCGTATTACTGTATCAAATATAATAAAAAAAACAGTTAGTACAAGTAGTATTTTGTGAGTTTTTATTGTGTTAACTCTATATGTGTTTATGCTTTTTAGATTGACTTTCTCTCTTTCTCTGTCCGTCTGTTTTAGAAACCGAAAGGAAGAGAGAGACGTCACAGCTGTCAGCAATGTGACAAATCCTTTACAAAATCTGGAAATTTCAAGCGCCACCTGCTTATTCATACTGGAGAAAAACCGTACAGCTGTGAAGAGTGTGGCCAAACGTTCACTAGATCAGGTGATCTCAAAAAACATTGCCGTATTCACACAGGAGAAAAACCATACAGCTGTGAAGAGTGTGGGAAAACATTCACTGGATCAGGTGCTCTTAAAACACATCAACGTATTCACACAGGAGAAAAACCATACAGCTGTGAAGAGTGTGGGAAAACATTCACTGGATCAGGTGCTCTTAAAACACATCAACGTATTCACACGGGAGAAAAGCCGTACAGCTGTGAAGAGTGTGGGAAAACGCTCACTACATCAGTTGATCTCAAAATACATTGCCGTATTCACACAGGAGAGAAACCGTACAGCTGTGAAGATTGTGGGAAAACGTTCACTACATCAGGTGTTTTCAAAAGACATTGCCGTATTCACTCAGGAGAAAAACCATACAGCTGTGAAGAGTGTGGGAAAACATTTATTGGATCAGGTAATCTCCTAACACATAAACGTATTCACACAGGAGAAAAACGGTACAGCTGTGAAGAGTGTGGGAAAACATTCACTGGATCAGGTCATCTCAAAACACATCTACGTATTCACACAGGAGTGAAACCTTACAGCTGTGAAGATTGTGGGAAAACGTTCACTACATCAGGTGTTTTCAAAACACATCAACGTGTTCACTCAGGAGAAAAGCCATACAGCTGTGAAGAGTGTGGGCAAACGTTCACTCAATCAGGTCATCTCAAAACACATAAACGTATTCACACAGGAGAAAAACCATACAGCTGTGAAGAGTGTGGGAAAACATTTATTGGATCAGGTAATCTCAAAACACATCTAGTATTCACACAGGAGAGAAACCTTACAGCTGTGAAGAGTGTGGGCAAACGTTCACGAGATCAGGTGCTCTCAAAACACATCAACGTGTTCACACTGGAGAGAAACGGTACTGGTGTGAAGAGATGCTGTTTTCACCCTAACCCGTCATGTATTTTCCTAAATATGACTAACAGTTTTTTATTTTCTAACCATCGTTCACACTATGCCAAAACAAGGCCACAGCGATGCTGTTTCTCCCGATTTAATTAAAATCATTGTTCTACTATGCTGTGTTTCAACCATGGTTTTCTAATAGTCTTGTTATTCCTTTTATAACATATTATATGTCCAGGATTAAACTGCTAGCCTCGTTAAGTTGCATCGGGTAGTTTCTTGAATAATCAGTGAATTAAGAGATTAATAAGCCCGATCTGAGTTCAGGGAGTTAAAAGTATAAAACTTGCCTGGCGACTCTGTGAATTCACTACATACAAAAGTGGAGGTTTCCATGTTTTGTTAGGCCGTAATATAATGTAGAGCCTGTGATAAAGCGCTAAATGTTTTGGTATACCATAGTTTGTTGTTAATTGTTCAAGGAAGCCCCCTTCTCCTGAAAAGGCTGAGAGCTCCAGCCGGGGTGTGTCTGTATTTGTCTGTGAAAGTATTTCCCCCTCTTTCTGAGTCTGTAAAAGAGGAGACCCTTTGTTTTATCAGCCGTGAGAGCAGCAGTGTGTCTGTTTGCTCTTTTCTCTGATGCCTGAAAAAAGGAGTGAGTTTAAAAAAGGAGTGAAAGATCAATGAGTGATCTGAAGTTGGAGTGAATACATTGAAAATTAATAGATCAATGTGTGATTTGATGTAGTAGATATATTGAAATAAATAAGAAACAATAATTTGTTGTTTTTAGCATAGTTTTTTTTAGGATACAGTTACGTCACATTGTGGTTTTTATGAGAAGTCTTGAGAACTGATTGTTACCATTGCATTGCATTGTGAATTTCATGGTATTTGTCATTAACTAAGAATTGTACTTAATTATATTTCAAAGGAAAAAATTATATTATATACAGTAACATTAAGGGAAAGTAAAAAGAGATTTACTGAGTATATGAAGTAGCTATATTGAAATAAAAAGATTTAGTTTTTTATTTTCACCTAGAATTAAGATGTTTTAAAGAGTCTAGAGCAGGGGTCTCCAACCTTTCTTCATCTGAGAGCTACTTTCAAAAAATGAAAGTGGCCAAGAGCTACTTGCATCACATCGCTTACATTTATTCACATAGCCCTCATCAGTTGAATTAAGCTATACTTTTGTACACGTGTGAAATTGCAATACCTAAAGCTTATCAAAAATAAGGTCCAAGAAAACGAAGATTTCTCACATATTATTATGGCCCACATAATAAGTACATCACTGAACATTCACATAAGTGTCCTTAATCACCACCTTACAAGCATTTCACTCTTTTGTTAGTGAGATGAATGGCACTGCATGCAGTCCACCATAGAGGTGTATGCTGGACCCACTTAAGTTCACTTAATAGAGTCATTTAAATGTTCATCAGTCGGTCTTGTTCTGTATTTAGATTTCATTCATGTCAGAAAAAGCTGCTTCACAAAGGTATGTAGAACAGAACCAAATAAAGCAGACATTTTCAGTGCTGCTTGGTGAATGTTCTTATAGTTTTCTGGGTCTACAAGGCTCCAGAAATGTTCTGAGTTTTGCTGAGACTTAAGCTGAACATTATTTTGGAGATCTCCACAGGATTGACACTGAACAGTTGTTCAGCCATCTTTTTCTTCTTCTTCTTCGTCTTGACATTAATTTATAAACCAAAATAAATTAATTGTATAGGTCTAGCCTCCCTATATCTGTGTGTGAAAATGGTTCCATCCTCAAAAACAAAAAACTAATACTTCTGCAGTCTAGCTGCAGCTTATAGCTACGGTCTTCTGTTAAAAAAAAGACACTGAATGTCCTGAATGTGGCATCACACACAGGACTTGAGTCTGAACACAGCAGACAACAGCAGTATTTACAATAGCATTATAAAAACAAAAATAGTGCATGTGGGTGCACACTTACATTCTCTGTCTTACTGTTACATAAATCCCATGAATGTATGAGATTAAGTTAGCTTCATTATATCTCAATCAGTGATTAAGTGAATAATAAAGTTTCTATCGGGTCACTATCAGCCTGTCACTCATTATTTTCAGGGAGGGGGCGGGGTTTGGAGGAACGGAGAGGAAGCTTTCCTCCTGCCTTCACAAACTTTACACAAGTATTTATCAACTGAAAATAGCAAGAGGACATTCATACTCTGCAATCCAAGACTTAATTAAATCCACCAAAAACCTGACATGACGATAACGAGTGTTTTTCAAAAAACACAAATCCCTCCCTGTGTGTCTCTGAGGCGCAGCGACAGGGCCTGATTCAGAGCGGGTCATTCTGCTGTTGGTTCTGCACTGGTGCTGGTGGAGAAAGCAGACTGCTCCGTGTGTGGTGTCGCTGTGCTGCTGTCACGTCTGTTCCTTGATCTCTGCGTCACCGACCATTTGATATTCGTGTGACAGAAAAAATTCTAAAATAAAAAAACGTTATTGTCCAGCCGCGGCCGAAGAATCAATAAGCAACCTTACTACGCTATAATCGATAATCGAGCGGCGAGCTACTGAAAAGCTGCCCGCGAGCTACCGGTAGCTCGCGATCGACGTGTTGGAGAGCCCTGGTCTAGAGAGAGTCAAAGTTATATAAAGTTAACTACTATTCTGGAAAATGTTCCTATGGTTTACTGTTTTATGAGTAACATAAAATAAAAAATAAAAAAACATAAAAATATATGTATTTATTAGATATAAGAACAACATGCTTATCTAGGTTAACAGAAAGTTGCTATTAACCAGTTTCAGCTGCAACTATCCTATCTTTGTTCTAAAGAGAACATACGTTGAATTTACAATTAATATTAAGAAAGTTCACAATTGATATCACTAAAGACCGTCTTGGATTAATAGGGCGTGTCTGTCATAAACATTCATGCTTAGATGGAATAAAGTGTTGAGATGTTCTCAAAGTGGGAGTTTTCACAATGCCTTCTTTGTTTTTATTGAAACAATTGAGTGATGAGGAAAGAAAACTGTTCCGTGATGATTTCTTTAGGTTTTAGCTTTAGTGATGAAGATTACATTTTGTGAGGAAACTTTTCCACCAATATTTCCTTTAAGTGTTCCAAATATATATTCATTAACTGTAATTAGATTACTTGTTTTTCAAATATAGCGCGGGCTGAATACAGTTAGTTTTGTATTATTACAACCTAACCATGCTTGTAAAACAACTTGGATAAACAATTAGAAAATGAATAGAATAAGCAAATTGATTAAAAGATGAATCTATAGTGGTTAAGGAGGGTTTCCTTGTTTTGCTCATTGACTTAGAACTGAAGTAAAGAAGAATAGTGTTTCATGAGAACTGTCATTCTTCATGGTTTTTTAAAGATAAATCATCAGTTTTTATGGACTTTGATGTTAAAATGGATCATGGTGGAGAAGGAATAGCTTTTTGGTTTTGAATCTAAGAAGATTTTAAAGATGATGTTTATGTTCTTTTCCTGACTAGAATTTAAAAGCAGGACGTCAACTAGACAAAAGAGATTTTACAATGTTTTGGGGGAGAGATTTAAATTGAGTTTTTCTCTAGTAGCTGATTGGCTGTGATTACAGCAGCATTGGATAGTTATGCACCACCTTTGGGTTGTACTCTGAATCAGTGTGTTGGTGAGATGTTGCTCACTACAGAAACAGAAGAACTGTGCAACGAACGCATCTCTGAGGAGGTTTTGACATTTTGCTTGTGCCTCGTTGTCAAGGCAACAGTGGTGTGAAGAGGAACTGCAGTTTTGGGGATTTCTACTGTGCAGAGGTGTGTCTGCTGATTGTACCACATTGATCCAAGAGTTTCCTCCCCTCCAGACATCCCAATGCCAAAAAGAGTTTCCTTGATCCAACTGACTACAGCTCCAGAGGACAACAAATCACTGACTGTTCTCATTATGACACGATCTTGAGACAGGCTTGTCTCAGACTGTTCAGACTCTGAAGAAATTATGCAATGATTTTACAGCATAACTGTGCAAGAGTTTTCCAGAGGGTGGTGCAGAACATTATGTTTAGTGTTTAAGAAAAGAGGCTGCTTGTTTAACGATGGTCTGGAATACTGAAAAGATTAAAGTTTAATATCCTTGTTTAGCATACTAGACATCTGATTATTATGTCACACATAATAATCTTGACATATAAACTAGCTATGGGTAAAACGTGTGGTAGTTATACCATTGTTATCATGAACTAAAAATCAATAGGGAAATAGTATCTGGTTAAAGAAGAACAGATTTGATATCCTAGAGAGGGTTAGTTATATTGTGAATACTTCACAAAGTATTTACTAATGTGTTTTGAAGAACAAATAACAAAAACACGAGTCCAATTTTGTTTTGTTTTTAGATTAAATTGTCCATTACCAAAACTGTTCACCTTAGGTCTAGCTTTAGACTTTGATAGTAAAGGAGTATTTAGGCTTATTTTTATATATCTGAATTTTTTTTAAATATGTTGGCTATTCACTGAATACAGAGATGGCATTACTCTCCATTTGTTAAGAACATTTCTGAAGATTGAATGTTTGTTCCATTTCTAATATTCCTATGTAAAGCGTAATTTTAGAGTAACAAAGGCTGATGCTGAATTTGGAAAACATGTGTTTGCATGTCGTAAACAAAGAGGCTTTGTTTGTTCAATCACCAGTTAAATCTCATACAGTAATAATGATTGATTTGGCTAAAGCTTAGTTTAACATCCTGGTGAAACATTATGAGATATGTTCACTTGTAAGGGTAAACAAATTGATTAAAATTGATTATTGTTATTATTATTGATTAATTTGGAATATTAATTTGGAATATTAATTAAAAAGGCCGTTATCTGCAGGTTCACTCTTACCCCTTTCACACCAAGGCTTTTCCCCTTCTAGCTCCGTGCTAGAGCTTTTCTGGTTCAGAACCGGTTCTTCGGTTTAGCGCCGGCTCTTTTCACACCGCTCAGAGCCCGACTGGTGCTGCCGCTGCTGCGTCATGACGTCACAGTTTACGTCGCTGAGTTTCTCCCCAACGGAGCTCACCCAAGCCCCCAGGAAGTGCGCCGGACTCTGATGAAAATATTCGTGCTGGCCAAACGGCGATACTACACTTCCTTTTGGTTGCCAGGCCCGGAAACACTTTTTCCCATTGACTTACATGGGGAAAGAGTGGTCTGTAAATCGTTGGATAATTTTTTTTAAACTAAATAAACTACCCAGTATGAACACTTGTATAGCCCTTATTAAAAACCTTCGTTCCTCAAGTTGTAAAATGTGCTAATAACGTTATTTTGAGAGTTATTTCCCTCTGCATTATGAACGCGTATCTAACCCACGGGACCACGCCGCCCGGCACGTTCATGTTACGTGTTCAGCACTACATGCGTTTATCTTTACCCATGGATGCACAATAAGAACGGACCCATATCGCCTTACTGCCAGCCCACGGAGCTGTAATAATGGATATATTGCACATGTTTGCTGTAATTCATCATTTGTAAAATATTATACTACATGGGCTGTATGATTAAATCTTGTACCGTAAATGTTGTATTAAATAAAGTTAATATTACCGACGTAGATTAACGTCCCTGTAGCTTCTTATTGCACTAAGAAGCTTATTGCACTGTATATATATATATATATATATATATATATATATATATATACAGTGCAATAATTATTTCATGCTAAATGAAGCTCTGTTGCTTGGATATCACTAGATCCTGTTACAGCGTAATATAAAAGTACATAACGATTGATGTGTAAATTAGCATAATTACTAGCTAACCGCTAGCTGCTAACTGCCGCCTCGTTAATATCAAATCTATCATAACAAACATTACCATGCTGTCATGAACGTGCGGTGCTGTTACGTGTACGCAAATTGACGTGCTTGATGTGAACGAGCATTTTGGGGGGCATGGTTAAAGTTGCGCATGCGCTATGAGCGCACATACGGGTACTTATCAGGCATGCCGGGTAATCTGTGACGTTTCGCTCTCTCAAAAGTTGGGCCATTTTATCATCATGCGCGAATGAGCAACTCTCATAGGAATGAATGAGGCCCCGCCTCCCACGCTGTATCCAGTTCTTATTATACATCCATGAGCTCACCTCACAACAACAACGGGCCGGGGACTGTGTCGGGTCGATGATCGTGTTGCTTTTAATCATACGAAGCCAGATTAAATTAAATAACGACTTCTCCAACCTTATACTTTTCTCCAGAGTGCCGTGGTTCATTGTTTATTAATGTGTTTCAGCGGCATTTACCGACCGCTGCAGTGCTGGCTGCTCTTCCACGGGAGTGTATTCTCCCGTTAGCTCCGGGTTAGCTCACACGGCTCTAAAGTATTCACTGTCTGACTGTCACACAAGCAGCTGTTACATATCCCCAGTTCCCCTTAAGTGAATGTGTGTCAGTCTGAATTGACGCTGTTTGGTGTCAGTCTGAATTGACGCTGTTTGGCATCACAAAGCTGTTATGGAAGTTTCTCTGGTATAACATGGGTGATGTTAGCATAGCAACCGAAGCTAAACTGACTACTTGCTAAGCCGTTTTATACAGGCACTTTTTACCGGCGTATTTTTCATTATGATTCTACTTGTGATAGTCGGACATGACAACCTGTGCAGCCCATGTATTGATTCCATCCGATAGCTGCTATAATAACAAACAAAACGTCTGCCTGCTCTCCACAATGATCAATAACAGCGAACGGATGGTCAAAGTAAGGTACAAATAAACAGAATCACACGAAGCCTGGTTAGTGTTGCCTGACTTTATAAAGCGTGTTTTTTTTTTACAAGTGTGTGGTTGCGTTCTAGTCACTTTGCTCAGCACTACTGCTGGTTACAACTTTTATTTGCCGTACTCGCCTTAACTGTTATCTCAGGTTAATCTCGCCCCCCTCCGACGTAAGCGGTTCTTGCTTCTACACGGACAACTTTTTGGTGCTCGAAACGAACCGGATTCCGGAGCTTAGAGGCTGCTCCGCTGCGGTGTGAACAGGAAAACCCGGTGCTTTTCAAGCACCAGCACCGAACCGGCCCCGAAACACCGTTGGTGTGAATGGGGTATCTGGAATGCCTTGCATGAACATTTGTCAGGCTTTGTGTTTCCTAGGGGCAGTACATTAATGAAGTGTATTGATAATATGTTTGTTTAACATCTGAAGAAAATTGTGCTGCGAACACGGGAAAAACTTTGTTGCATTGTTTGACATCAACACCATGATGTCACTAGTAAAAACTCCAGCTGGTAGAATATCAAAGTGCACTACTATAGGACATGAGATCTCGAGACTGACTTAGACTTTGCAAAGACTGAATGAATGTGAATTGATTTGTCAATTCCTGACTGTTACAGTAACACTGACCCACCGACAAAAGGTGATTTTATTTTGGGATGCACACAATGGTTTTGGCAATGTTTTTCTGACTATGCCATATTAGTTGAACCATTGTGAGACATGACGCATGAACTTTGTTTGACTCTGCATGATCCCTGCATGGCTTGATGACTATGTAGCTTGATTTTTAACATTGCTGATTCTTTTTGACAGGAGAAAGTTTTCCTGATGATGAGTCATAGGACTTTGAAATAACATTGTATGTGAAGATGGGTACTCTGAAGTGTCTTATTTGGGAAACATGGTCTCTATGGTTTGGAGGACAATGTTTCCAGGAGGGGTATAATGGGTTTATTGTTCAATTTAGTAATTTAATTTTAAGATGTATTTGATAATATTTTGTTTCATCCCAGTTGAAATCTTTCATTATTTCTTCTGTGACACATTGGTTTCAGATGTCTTTGAATTCTTGTCACGTGAATCTTTTAACCCTCACATGATCCAGAGGGCAAATGAAACTTGTCGCCTAAAAATGTTTTGTTCCTACATGGTCAAGCTCTCGATTGGGTTCTGCTAAGACGTATGATTAAATGTATTGTTCAAAGTTGGGATCTGATTGGTTTCAGCACCATGGCTGAACAATGTTGCAGGAGATGTTTGTTGTGTGTTTAGGAAATTGTGGGTAAGTAAAAACACAACACAAACAACATTTCATGGTTTCAAGAAGTTTAAAAATGATAGATAAGACTCTAAGACCTAGTGGTCGACTTTAGGCTGTTAACCCAGAATGCAAGTGCTATTTTCTACCCAGGTCAAAGCTGTCTTTTTCCCTTGCAATCTTGAGGAGGGAAGAGGGATCATTCTGAGGCAGACTGGAGTGTCAATGAAGGCAGCTGGATGACTTCCAGCTATTCTTCTACTGCTATTGTCTTATGGGTTTGGGTCAACATGAAGAACAAAACCCAAAACTTCTGAGATGATTTACAGCCAAGTATATTAGTAATCTCAAACTCCAGAGAACATATAGAAGATCTACCGTTAACTGTTCTTTTACTGAAGTCTCAGTTTTTCTGACTATAGTTCCATCGAATTCAAATGGTAATGATGTTGCTTCAGATGTCATCAAGGGATTTTGCTATGAGATGGGACATTACAGCATGAAGGCTAAGATAGATATTCCATCTAAAGGCTACGCATGAAGATCGGAACGTGCACCACCTGAAGAAGTGTTTACTGGACAATATAACAGAAGTAGAAAGAGTGGACGCCAGTTACATCTTGCTATAAGTGTTTTGGAAGATTTTCATTATGTATGTAAGTTTGTTAAACTTGAATGGGACAAATAGATGTTTTCCTCTGAAGCATACTGAGGTTTTTAAATGATTTTCCATTTAAGTAGAGTAGATTAGCGCAAATTGTCTTTTCTTCCACTTTTTGTGTTATAATCAAAAAGGTGTTTTTTTTGGCTATTGTGAGTAGGTACAGTACAAGTGACCTGTGACTTCTGCCTTGAGTAAAATTATTACCGATTGATAAATATTTTTCAGAAAGTCATTTTGGGCTTTCGAGAGTGGAACTCAGTAGGTTACTTGTAATAATAATCTTTTTTGATTAAGTGATCTTAATTAATAAAAGGAGGGAGTGTTATGGCAGAATGTTTAATACAGCGTATTTATGATATTCATTAATGATCACATGGTATTCCATATGATGTGTGTTACTGAGTTGGGTCACACACAGTTAGAGAGACAATGGTCGTTCTGAATTATCAATAGATGTATTCATTTTAAGTGAGCTGACACCGAGGTTAGAGGAAGTTCAGAGAAGGCCTCGGGTTATAAAAACAGTTAACCTTTGTTAGTTAACTACTCCTAAAGATGTCATGAGATGATGATGTTTAAACATATACAGGTATAGCTTTCAGAGAGAAAAACATGTGACATTTGTGTGGTTGGCTGCATGATCAAATGTGTGTGTGTTAAACATGTATATGTATATAATGGAAAACAAATGTATGATCACAAACAAAAACATGTTTCCAACGTTTAAAATCCGCCATACCAGTCCCATATTTATATATATATTATTATTACTGTTGTAATTCATATTTTATTTAATACCGTTTTTCACCACAGGGAGGCAGTGAATTTATTTTTTAATGAAAAACTAAACTCCCATGATGCATCGCGGTGGTCCGTTTCTAGCTTCCGGTCCTCAGAAGCTAGACGTTGCTAACAGACGTTGACGCAGATTTGTATACCTAATGTAATGTGTTAAAGAGACTTTTAAAACACATACAAAGACTTAGTTTATCCTTGGAGGGTGATTTATCCGTTAAACCGTGTTTTTGTTGCCTCCCGTTCTTTGTTCGTAGCTTTTTTTTACCACGTTGCTGATCGGTAAACATAAGTAAAGGGAAATTAGCGTGTTTAACGGCAGTGTTGTATCAAGGAGAAGAAAGACTGAAGAACCAGGACGAAGACGAGAGAGAGAGAGGTAACATCCATCCGTATGTGTCTAATTTTAATGACTTTGTAATCAGTTTGCCTATAGAGCCAACAGATCCACGGATGATGCCATCGCCACGGTCCTTCACACAGCTGTGAGCCACCTAGAAGGCCCAGGCAACTACATAAGGATGCTGTTTGTCGATTTTAGCACAGCTTTTAACACCATCATACCTGACATACTAGTGGAAAAACTGTCAAGCCTAGGTTTCCCCTCCATATTATGCGCCTGGATTAACAATTTCCTAACAGACCGTCCTCAGACAGTGAAAATAGGCCCTTATTGCTCCTCCACCCGCACCCTCAGCACTGGCTCCCCGCAGGGCTGTGTGCTGAGCCCGCTACTCTACACACACGACTGCTCTCCCACCCACCCCTCCAACTCCATTATAAAATGTGCAGATGACACCACGGTGGTCGGCCAAATATACAAGGGAGTCGGCATACAGAGACGAGATCCTGAAGCTGTCTGCGTGGTGTTCAGCTAACAACCTACATCTGAACACAAGCAAAACAAAAGAAATCATCATTGACTTCAGAAAGCACCGTCCAGAACACGCCCCCCTTCACCTCAACGGAGAGAGAGTGGAGAGGGTCTCCACCTTTAAGTTCCTGGGGGTTCACATCTCGGAGAGCCTTAGCTGGACAGCACACACCACTGCAGCAGTTAAGAAGGCCCAGCAGCGACTACACTTCCTGAGGGTGCTTCGGAGAAACCGTCTGAACAAGAAGCTGCTGGTGTCCTTCTACCGGGCGACCATCGAGAGCGTGCTGTCATACTCCATCTCTGGGTGGTATGCAGGATGCTCAGCTGCAGACAAGAAAGCCCTGCAGAGAGTGATCAGGATGGCAGAGAAAACCATCGGCTGCCCCCTGCCCTCTCTGGAGCTCATCTCCACCTCCCGCTGCCGCAACAGAGCTAACAAAATAATAAAGGACAGCTCTCACCCAGGTCACAGACTGTTCTCTCTCCTGCCTTCTGGGAGAAGATACAGGAGCTTCGACTCACGGACAAACAGACTCAAAAACAGTTTCTACCCCTGGGCCGTCAGGCTGCTTAACCACCACACATAATGCAATAACAGTAACCAGTCTCACACATACACACACTTTTAATGCACTTTTTATACTATTTTTACATCTATATTTTTAACTATTTATTCCCCCGTATGATTGTTTATGGTGTCTGTCCTATGGCCGTGTTTTTTGGTGTTCTTTATGTGTTTGTATTTTTTGCACACCGGGACAGAGTTGCACTCTGAATCTCGTTGTACTCTGTGTACAATGACAATAAAAGGCTTTAACTTAACTTTAACTACTGCAGGGTAGCTTGTGAATTTACTCCAGGTGGAACTAAAGTCTGATTTAAGAGTTGATTATATTTCACATAATTGATCCAAATCTGTGAAGTAACTAAAGGTTTGCAATACATAGTGGAGTCAAAGTACACCATTTACCTCTGAATTGTAGTGGAGTAAAAGTAGCATTAAATGGAAATAGTGTTGACAGACCTGCTGTTCAAGTGGCCGTGACAGACCTCACTTTTACCTCACCTACCTCTATTAAGCTTACCATTGATAACAAATGCTAAATTGGCTATAATTTGGTTTGATGGAAAGGATGTATGTCTCAATAATGTCTTACCAGACATGTGAAACTAGACAGAACATCCTGAACTCTTGACCTATGCACATTATTTATTTTAGAAGGTGCAAGCAAAGCATAAAAGTTCCAACCACAATTCTAGGAAGGCGTTGTGGTTTTTGACACCTTGACAACGGTTACAACGATTGAGGAGAACAATGCACACAGGATGAGAGCGAACTGTGTACAGACTTGATGATTTTAGGTCCAACATCCAGGAGCAACACATCTTAGAGACAATAGAGACACTTTTGTTAAGTTTGTTTCTGTTAATAAATTAAATGTGCACATTTTAAATTGAATTCTTAATTCTAAACATGACATTGAAATGTGTTTTGCTTTCATAACAATGTTCATATTCGCTTTTCTTAAAATTGCATATCATTACTATAGTCTTCATTTGTTTAATTGTAACTAAGATTAAGTAAGAATTGAACCTATGTGACCTCCTTCTCACTCAAAGATAGAAAAGGGGAAACCACCTGAGGCCTGTACGACGAAGCCGGATTTCCGCTTAGCGGGCTAACTTCAGGGAAAACTCTGGGTTTCCGGTCCTACAACGCTAGATCTCCATGGTAACTTATGCTGAGCGGGTAGCCTGGTCCGGAGCAGGTTAGGTTGCAGGCTAAGAGATAAACTCAGTGAAAGCACCGCCTGCTGACCAATCAGAGCTAAGTGTGCGGAGTTTAAAGCGATCAAGTCATATTACAGGATAGAGGAAATACAGAAAAACTGCCGTTGCAGGAAAGACGGCCGGCAAAAATCACAGACTGTGTGAACGTGAAAATTAATAGAATATCCCCTCCCATCTTCAGAGCAATCTGACTATTATAACATTAGTGTTAAGAAAGCTTACTTAAATATCTGCCATAACACAAGTAACCGGATCAGAGTAACATTATGTACAGTCCGCGGCACTGTGAGTGCAGACGTCGATGTGTCCCATTATAATTCTTATCACGTCATAATAAATCATATATTTCCTTATCTGAGTCAGCTTCTTGAGCCGTATCTGGCCGTGCAACACTCACAGTGTCACATACTGTATGCAGAAGTATTATTTTAAGCAACACATTAAGTTGACGAAACACTAGAGTCAAATGTAATGTGGCTTTTATCCTGGGTAAAGTGTTTAAGTCGTGGATGTTTAAAGTTTAACGTCTTCATATTTGACTAATATTAAAGTTAACTTTTCATTCAGGAAGTATGACGCGCTGCGCTGTCAGTACGCTTGTCCATGTTTGAGATTGGTCGAATGCTCCAAATACCACCCCTTTCATGTGAACGCGCACCTAACTAGATAGGACACGGCTGGCTTGAGCGATCCACTTGATAACCCGCGTCGTAGGACCGTTTAGCGAGAGCGCGTATGTTTTGGATTAGGCCAACCGGCTAACTCAAACATATCCAGGTTATGTTGAACCGGCTTCGTAGTACAGGCCTCTGATGCAGAGAGGGAGGAGGGAAGAGACTATAAAAGATGAGTGAAGAGAAAAGGGGGAGCTTGGGGGGACTTTTTTGAGGCTTGATTTTGGGTCTTGGGCTCTAGGGGGTTCACTTGGGAACCTGTTGCTTTTGTACTTTGACCTTGTAAAACTTTTGTTATTTTTTGGATCTTGTAAATCCTCTATATTTGTTAAAAACCTAAGAAAACCGGTTTGTACTTTGTACATTTCGACCCAATTCCTGGTCTCTTTGGTAGTCTCTGAAGGTATCTGCTTGGTCTTAGAGTAAGGTAAGAGCACCCTTCCTTGGAAAAGGCTGACTAGTTGTTAATTTGGACTTGAAATTGTTTAAGGGAAATAGAAACCCTGCTAAGGTTAAATTGTAGTTTCATATTGGTTACTGTGGTTGATGTGGTTTTGATTGATGCTGAAATATGACATGTGCTCTGCTGATGTGGGATTGTGGGTCCTGAAGCTGCCCTAATTACCAGGGAGTCTCCAAACGACACGGGGTTTCTCCTCCAGGGGCAGTTTAGATACTGCTTTGGGGTTCTTCCAGCCCACCAACACCTACTGCACTACACACTCTGTTTTGCTATCCTGGCAGTCGGACATCCAACGCTTTAGTGCCTGAAATAAGTGATACGACGGGCAGCTGGTGTTAGAGGCCACACTGTCAGTGCCCCCCTAAGAAGATTACGGTGATCTTGCATTTATATTCTGGGGAGTTTGTTCTAAAGGTAGGACGGCCGTTTTCCGGAGACTTATCAGCATCGGAGCTCGGAATCGGAGACGACCTAGATATCAACGTTGGTTGTATCGAAGTTAGATTCCTTTTCAATAGTAAAGTACAAGTACCTCTAAATAGTACTTGAGTACAGTAATTGAGTACATGTACTTAGTTACTTCTCGCCTCTGCTATTAACCTATATTTTGGTGTCTGTTGGTTGTATTGAGTTATCTTGTTTTGTGATTATTTCAGAGACACAGCCGGAGAAGGAGCACTGAGAGCAGCATGGAGGAGAACAAAAAGACCCCTGGAGCTCAGGTCAGTGTGCACCTCATCACAATATATTCCTAACACTGTTATCCCCAAATGAAAGATCACAACCTGTTTAGAAAATACAATATTAATGCACAATATGGTTGGATATAGGTTAGAACATTACTACTTACTGTGGTTAGAACGTTGCCATGTATTGACTGTGATTATAATGTTGCTGTATTTAAATTGTATTGATTTTTTACATGTATCACATTACAAAAACACAACCGAACATTCCCCAACATTATACATATGGCAGATTACAAAATAATGCTAAACAAATAAAAAAGTGTGCAGATACTAGAATCATCAGGTTAAAGTACAGACCAAGAATATAATTACATTTGCAAATTCAATAAAAGCACACCCACAAACAGAGCCGAGTACAGCTTACAATTCTCCAAATAGATTAACCAAATTCAAAATGTCCTCACAGTAGTTTAGCCTTTTCACTTGAACCTTCCATCACTTCTGCAATGTCCCCACTTTTTATAAATTCCAAAAACAATTACCAAATGGTGTAAAATTCAGAAGCTTTCTTCCTTAGTATATATGTGAGTTTCTCAAGAGCCAGACTCAAAGTTAAATTGTTAATAGAAACAAGACAACATTAGCCGCTTTCACACCGCGTACTTTGCCGTACTTATTGCCACAGCACTTATAACCGCAGGGCATTAAGTACCAATCGCGTTCACAACGCAGTACTTTACCCCGAGGGAAGATTACGCAAATGACCCGCTGACGTCACTTCGTCTTCTTCTGCTTTGGGTTTACTGGCAGGCCGCAAACAACTTCACGGCGTATACTGCCACCCGAAGTCCCCGGCCGGAAGTCCCCGGAGTTGGGGACTGGCTTCAGTAGAAGCTGCTGGGACTCCCAGCAGCTTCTACTGAAGCCTTCCGAGTAAATCGCCAGAACGCCGACACCTCCTCATCTCCACCGCTCCCATGTTTTTTTTGTGTTGCCATAAGTTAGTCTCTCTCCGTTGGTGCGCGGGGCTAATGCTAATAATGCTACTGCCAGCAAATACAAGATGGCGGCTTCAAAAAAGTTTTCAGAGTTATACGGGGCGTGGTTTGCAATTCGCCCAGCCAATAGAAATTGGTACTTTTTTCTCCCCAGGTTAGTACCACCTCTCTAGCAGGCTCTAAAAATAGGGGTAAAAGTTCCCGGCATTAAATAGTCTTTGCGGTGTGAACGCAACATAAGCGGTACTAACGGAACTAAACGGGAAAAGTACGGGGAAAAGTCCTGCGGTGTGAAAGCGGCTATTGGGGAGTCCCCTCTATATTTATGTGCTTCATGCCAGACAAACATTTTATTTTTCACAAACGGATTCATTGTTTTTTTCTTTAGATTTTCAGAAGGAGCAGAGTATAGAAAGCTATCCAGCATCAAACTCAAATCTTAACCACGGCAAATCAACTCCTCTTGAAAACCAAAACATTTTAGCCCTCAATTGTGCTGCCCAGTAGTGACTGAGAGTCTCGGCTTCCTGTTATTCCAAATACATTTAGAAAGTAGCTTTCTTATTTTAGAGAACAATGGATTGCTAGCGGGATTGATTGAAAAAGATATAGACATTTTGGCAATATACTCATCTTAATTATATGAATTCTTCCCACTAAGGATAGAGGCAATGTTGTCCACCTAGTGAAATCTCCTGGACTAGAGGTACAAAGGGAAGTGGCAAAATATGAAATAACCGGGAGAGAGAAAAAAGAGAGGAAACTGATTGCTGAAGCCACAAAGTGAGGTTTTAACAATCAGGGGGAGAGGGGGAGGGAGACACACACAAACACAACACGGCACGTAACACCCCCCCACATAAAACTACAGTTTGAACCGAAAACACCCAAGGCAGTCACCAAAACACACACCTTGTCCAGCTCACAAGCAGCCAACATGGGAGCGACACATGGAGAACACACATCACCCACAGAACACACATCCACACCGCTCCGAGCCAGGTCCACACCCACAGCTTCAGAGACGGGAACACCCACATCCACGGCACTCCCACAGACGGACGCTGAACTTAATGGCAAATCACCACTCTATCGCATTGCAACTGGGTGGCGCTCTTTTGGTTTAACTATAGACTGCTTGGAAGCTGCCACCTGCTGCTTGCTGCTCCAATAGGCGCGTTCACACCAAGTACTTTTCCCACAGTAGTTCATGAGAACTTTAGTTCATGAGAGTTCTTTTAGTTCTGACGAACTAAAGCAGATCGCGTTCACACCAAAATGAGTTCCTGGGGGTGGATTAGGCAAATGAGTCCTTCTTCTTCTTCTTTGGTTTTCCTGGCAGGCCGCAAACAACTTCACGGCGAGTACAGTAGGTGGCGGTATGCACCTTAAAGTTGCAATTCGCCAAAAAACCGAGAGAAGAAGAAAAAAAAATTCCGCTTCCGCTGTATGCTTCTGTTTACCTTCCGACCTCAGACACCGTAACGGAGTTATTTAAGCCAATAACTCAGCCACAAATACAGATCGACCATTCAAATGCAATAGACATGCTGAGTCGGAGGCGAAGGCGGTTAAGAAGCCTTAACAAAAGGATTAGACGACGAAATCACATGCGATGGACATGTTTCGCCGTTGTACAGCCGAGGATGATGGCCGTTATCACGCCCAAAGAACAGCAATGGTACGTTCATTAAATCACATTAATACTATCTAATGTAGGATTTATGGAGTTATGTAGGGCTAATTTGTGTCTTTGTATGTGTTCCAGATATGCGAATACTACGGAACTCTGGGTGAACAATAGAACGTCGGCCTGGTGGGAGGTGGTGCCAACGTACAGTGGATCAAAGATTTCCGAATGTCCAAGGGCTCTTTTCAACTCCTCTGTATTCGCCTGGAAGCAACGTTGTGGAGAGGCATCTGAACAGCATGGAAATTGTAAATTGACAATAAAGCTGATATTTTGTACAGTGCATTTGGTTCTCTTTTATTTACCAGTCAACAGACACAATTACAATAGTGCAGACACACCTTAGTGCAAAGATTAAATGTCAGTATCAAAACAGTACTCATACTGTATATTTGTATATTAATGAGTATATTATGTTAAATGTGTGTTAAAGACAATGGGATGAGGTTGAAAGCTCTTTAAAAACTTTTGTATACATACATGTTAACATACATGTTAAGCATGCACACCTGAAGAACTACGTTACACACACACAGGTTAGTCTGTGTACCGCTGCACTGCTGCTGGTTTAAACAAAGACAGTCATGATGCTAGTGCTGTGCATGTAGGTTCTCTTTTATTTATCAGCAGCAGATCAATAAGTGTCAGTAGTATCAAAACAATATAATAACAGTGGCAATATATATATAATCACAATAATACAAAATTAACTGTCCCAGGTGTAGGCAATTTGGGGTGAAGTGTCTTGCCCAGGGACACAACGACATCCTGACTGCAGTGGGGTTTGAACCTGTGCTCCCCTGATCCGAACACCAACGCACCAGACCACTGCACCACACGCCTCCCAACAAGTCATTGTACAGTTTATCAACGACAAGTTTTTCTTAATTTTTGTATTGAAGGCCTGTTGGATTTAATCAGCTCGCTTAGCACTGCCAGAAGCCCAGCCAGAAAGGTATTTTGTTGCTCCACCTCGATTCCTGGGCCTTGAGTGAATGCAGCAGCCGTTCGTCGTGCTCCTGTGGGGATTGCCCACAGTATTGAGTATGTAAGCTTTGGATAAAAGCGTCTAACAAGTGACATGTAATGATTCAAAAAGCTGTTGAATATTGAATAACAAACCAATGTGGTTTACTTGTTATCCACAGTTTAGCTGCTAAATGTTTTTTAGCAATGCTTTTCTTTGTGCTCCACATATCTAAATGTATAAAGTGTGTTTTCACCTCCGTTCCCTCCTGTTTGCTGCAGTATGGCAGCAGCGGTCAGAATGGTAGTCCTGATGGTGTCCGCTGACCGGGCACATGGTGTGGAGCTGCCTACTCTCAGCGGGGGGGAACTGAACGTGGAAACTGTGTTTCTCTGAGGGATCCTCCATGTAGTCTGAGAAGCCTTCTGAGGAAACAAGGTCAAACTATTTAGGATAATACAAGGAACAATGTTTAGGCAGTAAATAGAATTTCAATTACATTTCTACTTAAATGTGCAAAAATATTAGAACATCAGTCTTTGTGGCATGCAGGTAATCAACTGTTTAAGCTTTTACCATTAACATGTAGAATGAATGTTGCAAATTACTTGAAATTATAGCAACTACAATCTATTGTTTACCTCTATGCATTAGCCACAGAGGTAGCATTATGTCCAGCTAGCATGCTAATTGCTAACGTTATATTATCGTTTTATCCCGGAGGGGAAAACTAGTTTCTAATCCTGAGAGAAACACCTCGCCTGAAACACACGATTAGTGCCATGAGTTAGTGAAGCAAATTACAGAACATTGCACACTTATTCACAAGTCAATACGTGTTCATAGCGGGCATGGCTGAGAATAGCTAGCTAGCTAGATGTTGTTAGCCAGCTTGGACCTAACGTTAGCAAGTTCTAGCATGGCTAGCTCGATCTACTGAGCAAATAAAAGTACATCTAAGACCAGTATTGTGCAGATTAAAACAGTGCAGTGCATGTATTTTATTTTACCTTCGTAGTCGTCACGACATGACTTTGCCAGGTCTGCTAACTTTGCTGATCCACTGAAACTGCATGCAGTAGAAGCTTCTGAATGCCGCACTTCGCGTCCTCCGAGTAAATTGCCAGAAGCGCCGAGACATCCTCATCAATTCCACCGCTCCGATGATTTATTTAGTGTTGCTATAATAACTGCTTTCACAAAAGTAATCTCTTCGGGTAAACGAGCAAATACAATGGCCGCTTCCAAAAAAAAAATCAGAGTCAAACGGGCGTGGTTTGCATTCCGCACAGCCAATCAGACGTACGAACTATTTTCTCCCACGACAGGCCCTGCTCTGTAGCAGGGACTGAAAAGCGGGTCGGACGAACTCATTTGA